ACACACACACACACACACACACACAAATGCTTTGTAGAAGCAGAGGGTAGAATGGTGGTTTTGAGAGACTGAAGGTAAGAGGAATGGGGAGATGTTGGTGGAAGAGTGCGAAGTGTCACTTAAGAAGAATATGTTTAAATACGAGATTATTATGCAACAAGGTGACTAGAGTTAATGTATTTTATATTTCGAAATTGTTAAGAGTAAATTTTCAAATATTCTCACCAAAGAAAAGATAATTATTTCAGGAGATGAATATGTTAACCAGCTTGATTTAATTACTTCGCATTGTATGCATTCAGGTTGAGGATCCCTTATCCAAAATGCGTAGAACCAGAAGTGTTTTCGGATTTCTGATGTTTTCAGATTTGGGAATATTTGCAGAATACACACCAGTTAAGAATACTGGTTGAACATCCCTGATCTAAAAATTCAAAATTGGAAATGCTCATTGGAGCAAATTGTTGGCACTCAAAAAAATTATGGATTCTGCAACATTTCAGATTTTAGACTTCCGGATTAGGGACCCTCAGCCAGTATATCATAGTATCACCCTGTGGCCCATGAATGTCTATGATTATAACTTAACTAGTTTACCATTAAAGAAACACAATCCTTATGCTAAGTGAAAAAAGTCAGACACAAAGGTCATATGTTCTATGATTCCATTTATACCAAATACCCAGAATAGGAAAATCCATAGACAGAGAGAAGACTGATGGTTGCCAGGGGCTAGAGAAGGGGGATGGAGAGTGATTGCTAATGGGTACAGGGTTTGCCTTTGGGGTGATGAAAATGTTTTGAAACTTGATACAGGTGGTGATTGTACAACATTACGAATATACTAAATGCCACTAAAATGGTAGACTTTAAAGTGGTCAATATGTTATGTGAATATCATGTCAATTAAAAATAAATTTGCAATCTCACTCATTACCCTTTACTGAGCTCCATTGTGTGATTCATTTGTTTAGTTTGCTTCTTGAACATCTCCTTCTCTTGAATGTAAACTCCACAAGGGCAGGCAGGGCTTCCTGTCTGTTTTGCTTATTGATTTAATGTCTGGGCCTAGAATAGGCCTGGAACAAAGCAGGCCATGAGTTTTGTTGAATAGACAGGTGAATGTATTACCTCTTTTGTGCCTTGTTAATAAAAGCTCCTCTGTATTTCTTGAATACCAAATTAAAGAGAGATTAATTTCTTAAACGAATAGGATTAAAGGGCTAGTATGGTCTCATCCAAAATAAATTTAAAATAGAGAGGGGAAGAAAAGTAATCCTATCAGAATTCCTCGGTTCACTGCATGGGAAACAAACAAACAGCCTGGTAGAGGTTCAGAGGATTGAGAAAACGGTATCAAGGGCTGAGCACTGAGGTCCTTTTTAATTTGCAAGGATTAGAAATGTCAACAAGCATCGTATTTTCCGCTAAATTCTAGAAGATGAATCAGTGCAGCGGATTTAAACTAGAAGGACAGCAGAAAAAATGAGGCTGCTAATAAATGCACGGCTTCTGTATAAGCATAGGCTGTGCATATGGGTTCAATCACACCTACCCCGAGAGAAAATATTTTCACTTAACACCTGCGACACTGTGAATCAGGGAGAACATACCGATGAGCTCCTTATTTCTGACGTCCAAGGCCATGTTCCGCAGCGCCGTGGCCACCGCGCACACCACGCGGTCATTGTCTATTCGGAGCAGCTCCACGAGGATGGGCAGGCCTTTCTCTTTTCGGACAGCGGCTCGGATATATACTGACCACTGCAAAAACAGGGAAGGCGAAGGGCGTTAGAGACAGGGAGAAAACCCTACAGGCAAATAGTACATTTGCGTTTTCAGACGGATGCTTACAGGAGCCAAAAAGGTTGAATTACCAAGACCTATTGTAGAATGGGTTGAATCTGTTAGACATGCATTTAAACTTTTTAACTGTATTTTTTGCCTTCAACTTGGGGACAAAGATTTCAGGGTTAATCAGTGAACCACACTAGGTTTCTTTTGTGACACTGTTTTCAGTACTTGAAGTTGAAAGCCATTTGCGTGATGTGTATACTTGATGCTTCAAGATACAGAGGTTTGGGACAAGCGGATGTGGCCAGTGACATTCAGAGAAATAAAACAAGAACCCCGAAAAAGTAGAAAATGAGAATGGGTTGTGTGGGAGTGATTTCTAAAGACAGCTTTGAATTTGGAGATGGGGCACACAGGTGAGTTGCTGAACGTGCTGTCAATAAGTCGTTTGCTGAACAATAAAGAGCCCACCAGTCAGAAATACGCCGGGCCGGATAAATGTAAGTATGACATTGAAAACCAAGAGTGCACATGGCAAAATGTTTTTTAAAAAACATTAAGGTCAAACTGTATAATGTTAAGGGCCATAATTCAATGTCTTCTTTATAAAGTAGGACATGAAATTTGTTTTGGGTTGGTGGTCGTCAGCCTTAATGGAACACAGGTAATGCTTCATATTAAAATGTCCTTGCAATATCTAGATGAAAAAGCATTCCGATTCACTTAACAGAATGCAGGCCCAGATTTTCAGACATTTGTATGAATGATGTATACTCTTCTACAGTGTCCTGGAGAAGAGGGTACAATATAAAAATTCACAAATGTAAGGGTTTTACCTGTTGCAATTTCATTTTGATTTGAGAAAATTACATTCACGCAATGAGGTTGTGGATTCTGTGGTAGGGTCCTCCTGGGGACCAGTCCTTTCCCACCCAGTCCCCCCACCAGGCCCCCTCCGCCCCCCTTCCCCCATGGGGGCAGGCACCCCAGAGCTGGCTCTCACCTGTGGCAGGCAGGGAGCCCCCTCTGGCAGTGAACGTAGGGCATATGCCATGCCTGCCACATCCTCAGCCCAGCCCTGCATGAAATATGAGATCAAAAAAACAACTTCATCCTGTCCTACATTAGAAGTCACATTCACATAGTTTCTTATCACCATCAACTCACACTGTATGCTTTTCTCGCACCCCTACTTTGTGCCTCAAGCTCTAGGAAGCCTTGAGAGGTTAGGGGAGCAGGTAAAACTCACTAAAGCATCTCTTGGCTGTGGTGATCTATTTGACAGCTCCACTGTTAGAGAGCAAAGAAGTGGAAGGTCAGGAAGTGTCAGACATGACAAAACATTGAGGTTTGCAAACTGCTTCTTGGGATGTGGGAATCTGGAACTGACATCCCTTCCCAGGGAGGAAGCCCTTTCTCCTGGTACAATGCCAATTTCCATCGATGCATTCAACCAGCATGCTGAAACACGACTTCCTCTGGACACATCTGCCTCCCCCTGAAATGAGCCAAGAATACGTGGACTTCTTGTGCCCTGCTGAGTCTCCAGTCCCCCAGCTTGGAAAAGCCCGGAAATCTGAGTTTATGCAGCCCACTTAATCCTGGGATCTTCCCTAAAACTAAGGAGAGAAGCTAGAAAAAGGAAGAGAATGCAAATCAGGGTGTGGGGTCAACATTGACATATTGCAAAAGGAACATCAATGACAACATCGGGGAGATATTCTGGACCTTCTGGGAGATGGCAAGGGTATTCCTGGCAACTTAGGCAGGCTGATGCATGTGCCCTCAGCCTGGTAGGGAAGAGATGAACTGAGGAAGGTGAGTTCATCTCTTCCCCAGCACCACTTCTTTGCAGGCCCCATGCGACTGGCTTGTATATTTGAGATCTCTTCTAATTCTTGAAACTCCAGGGAGGTCAGCATTTTTATTTTATACACGGGGAAATTTAGGCACAAAGATATTCAATAACCTGCAGAGTCACCTGCACTCGACTCTGGGTCCTGTTACTCCATATCTGTCTTTTTTTATGCTGCTGACATTATACCCCCTCTACCATCATCTCATCCCCTCTCCTGTAATCCTTCATGCTTAGTCTCCCAGACACGACCTAGCCTTTTCCTCCATCCTTCCAGACACAGACGGAGGAGAACCTGGCCATATCTGAAATGAGCCAAGAATACGTGGACATAACTCTGTCCTTCTTAGAAGTCCAGCTACTAGCCATACCCCCCAGTGTTGGATGAAAAGGTGATTTGGTATTTGGAGAACAATGGGAATCCTTCAGCTTTGCTGGGAATTGATTTGAGAGCAATAACAACAAAAAGAGGCTACTTAGGACCAAAAATGTGTATGAGATATAGAAACACATTTTTGATACTAGAAATTGGTGAACAGTGGTGTGTTTTCCCTAAGAGAGAAAGGATAACCAGACAATAGATTTGATATTTTTGTTATTGAGGCATAGAAAATAGCTTTCATTTTTAAAGGTTAGTTATGTGTATGTTTGTGTGTATACAGATTTCCAATATTGTCACAGCAAATGAGACCAATTTGCCCAGATTTAGTAGGTCCAATAAAAGGAGTCATGTCTAATTGGAATTTCTCGCTTGCGTCAGGAAAGGATCCCTTCTCCTTGCAGGTGATGGGACAAAGCTTTTGCACTCCTCTTCCTGGGGAGAGGCTCAGGCCACTATTTGACCCAAAGAAGTGTTGTCAGCATGGGACAGAGAAGAAGCAGCAAGCATGTATTGTCTAAGGCTAGAGGGCACAGATCCAGGTAAAAGATGGAATATATTTGAAAGATAATTAGAACAGAGAGAAAATAATTTGCCCTCTCCCTAGTCAATACAGAGCTTCCATGCTGGGGAAATAAAGGATGCAGTTTGGAGAGGAAGCAAGAGATGCGGCAGCACTGTGGGGGCTGCAACCTGATCCCTGGAGTCCTCCTGGACAAGCCCCCTCCATGGATAAGGGAACTGAGTATGACATCCCCCTTAAGATGGGAGAATGGAAAGTCCACAGCTCGGCTGCCCTTCTTGGAGGACAGCAGTGGCTGAGCAAGACTCAGCGAAGTGTCCTGTACCGTCCCAGGATGGGGGCCAGAGGGTAGGAACAGTGACATGGCTTGCTGGGCTGGGAAGGGCTGGGAGGATTCTTGTAGCCCCAGGGTGGCAAGGGGTAGCTGCTGAGGGTGGTCTTGAATGGGCGGGGTGTGTAGGTTAGCTGAGGAGGAGAAATGAAGAACTCAGGGCTGCAGAGGGGTTACTTGGCCAGGAGGGAGGAGACACATCAGTGGAGCACATGGTGGGAGCAGACGGTGCCTCTCTGGATTAAGGACAGGAGGTGGTTGCATCTCAGGGGAGCTCAAAACAGATGGAGGCAGGTGTGGGCCAAGAGAGGACCCTGGACCAGAGATGGTCCAATCACCAATCACCACATCCTGGAGAAGAGGCCGCATAGAACAGAGTCGATTCCACACTGAGAAAATGGACACCGCACCCTCATCGTCTGTGCAGGACTATACTGGTAGGACCCCCAAATTTAGCATCAACTGCAGGGGCAGGAGAGGATGAAGGTGAGGAACATAAATGTGGCCACGCTTGAAGCCTGACAGGACTGGGAAACAGCTGAATTTGACTGGGTTTGCCTAGAAATGTTGAGATTCACATTTCTTTCCTTTCTATTTTTTGGCACCAGGCAAATGAGGGCTCAGAGATGAACCTGAAGTGAATTAACAAAGATACTTGCATACAAGTTTGTGTCCCATGAAATTCCTAGTTGTATGTATTGAGAATTTGGTAACAAAGAGAAGTCAATAACTTTTAACCCTTTAAGGCCAGGCTGCCTCATTCTAATGTGGATTTCCAGGGACTTGACTTTTACAAATCCCAGCCCAGCTATAAATAAAACTGATGGCCATAATTTTTCCAAAGAGTTCCTCCTTGCTGAAACTGAGGTGATTCTGTGAAGGCTGATTTGTTCCTGAAGGGAGATTAATATTATAATTTAACTTTTCCTCATTGAAATCCTAATAATTTGCTAAATTACAATGACAGTGTTTTCCTTTAAGTACTAAATATTCTCTTCTGAGGCTGAACCCATTATAGTGCTAAAATTCTGAATTTGTTGATTAATTCTCTATATTCTAAAAGTACTCTTGTGTTAGAAGTATAGTCTGCAATTAAATGACTGTCAGTTACATGATCATTTGTCCATTAACTTTCTTTATCAAATTAGCCATTTCCTCACTTTTTCTTTTAACAAGGTAAAGTCAAATTTTAAAACCAAACTCTTCCAGTGAAAAATACAGACAATGAATTTGGTACAAATGGCGTGTAATTCCTAAATTTGTTTCTGAATTTATTTATGATACCAGGGTGTCTCATTCCCATGACAAGAGGGTAGGAAACACCTCCTGCACTGAAAAGCTTATTTAATTAGTCTTATTTTTACCAGTAGTTTACTATAAAAACAATGTACAACATATTAGGAAATGACATGGCTTTTGCTGTATGCCCCAGATTATTCTCTCTAGAATGGATTATTATTTGAATTATCAGATTCTCCTAGCTGGAAAAAAACTGTGCTTGGTTCCTGCTCTAGGATTCATGAAATAATGGGGTGGTATTAGCACAAGGTCCTTCGAATGATGGGGTTACTCTGCAATGGACACAGAAGTCAGGTGTTGGCTCTTCACATCCAGAGTTACATTACAGATTTACATATCTTTGTTTTCAAAATTCCAAAATCTATTTTGAAAACTGGTATCTCTAATCAAGATGACTAGTGAAGAATTCCAATCTGTTAGTAAAGAAATAAATCAATTTAATAAATACAAATTTTAGTTAAGGCAATGGCAACTATTGCATGTTTACTGTTTTTTGCTGTTGTTTCTTTGTCTGAATTTTAAAAATGTAAGTCAAGTTAGGGCAAAGACTGAATTTTAGCATGTGTTAATGCAATGCTCAAAA